TATAAGAGATTTTTCCAATTGGATAGACAATCGACGCATTCATTTATTTATTTATTTATTATGAAAAATCAAAGAATATAAATTTTACTGATATTTTCACAAGAATTTTATATTCATTACTTGTCTGTTTATACAAAAAAATTAAAAGCATAAATTTTATTGTGGTTTTTTCCCCTTTGTAAATACATAGCTAATATTTATAATTGGGAAACATAGAATTAATTTTGTGAAGAATATTAGGACGAAATTTTGTGAGAAAATTTTTACTCACATTACCGTATCTAATGACTAATATAACATGCTTATGTAAGGGAAAGCATAAAGCGTAGCACATTTTTGTTGATTTAGATTGCAATATTATTTTCTTATGATTCTAAAATATGGCATAAATACTGTCATTGGAAATGTTTCGAGTGCAGCAAAGAGCTCCCTTTGGCTCGAGTTTGAGAGGAGAAATCTTCTGCTTGTTTATGTTAGAATCACCTAATACGTTTCGGCAATTAGATGGTATTTTTTTTTTTTATGAGCATTTGCTTCATTTAGCCCTTGTTTGAGCCCCATTTTTTCATCAAAATACATTCTTCAACAGTGATTTGACACCATTTCAACCACACATTTTTTAATAAAATAATATTATACGCAAATAAAAAACATTTTCTTATTTTTTAGCCAAACATTTCTCATCAATACACTTTTCAAAAATTCATTTTATCCTCCAAAATGGGGCTCAAACAAGGGTTTAATTTTGTTATTATTTTTAAAAAGATCCTCTAATAAATTTTGCCTAAAAGGCCTGGATTACGTCAGCTGCCTCTATATAGACAAGTAGTTTGAATGGTAAGTGTAAGATGGGCCTAACTGGTGTAGGGCTGTCTAATAAACATAAGGCTTTGCATGCCCCACAGGCCTAGCCCATGGTGGCATGGGCTGACTGGCCCCATTGGGCTTTTGATTTTTAACTTTTTTTATTGTTTCTTTATTACTTTTCAGCAGCTGGCAATTTAACACCTAACATTTTTTAACATTTTGATAAAGATATCAACGAGTCAGCTTAGTCGGCTTGCGAGTCGAAATTCGAGACTTGGATAAAATGATTGAGCTTTTTTCTGGGTTCGAGTTGCTCGATCAAAAAAATTAGGCTTGACCTGAACTTTTGGCTCCGGCCTTTCAAGCCCAGCCGAGCAAGCTCGATTTTTATTTTTTTTTTTAATAATGAGGCAGCCTTTGCTGCTTGTTTAAGGCATCAGCACGCTGCCTTTAAATTATGAATAATACTTGGTGTACATTATGGATTGCTAATGGTGGTCATAATGCACACATGACGCCCCCTTATTGGAGGGGTGTCGGGGGGGCCAGGGGTGCCATGTGTGCATTATGACCACGATTATGGTGTCCATAATGTATCCATAGCACAAATCCTAAATTATTATTATTTATATATATATGCTTCTTCTTTTCTTTTTTTAAATATAGGCACACGGGCTAACTCAAATTTTGCCAAACACCCCAAAATGGGGCTCAGCCCAAGTTTTGGCTCGGTTCTTCCTAGCTTGGAGTCGGATGGGCTTGAGTTTTTTTTCGATCTGAATCACTGGCGACTCAAACCGACGCGCCCAATTGTCATCCCTACATTTGGACCTCAACTATAATTTTTAAAAAAAAAGTAATTCACCATCTCTAGAAGTGACATCTCCGTTTAATTTCTTCTATTATCATTATCCTGACTCCCGAGGTAACCAAATGCACTCTTTAATGCCTGCATGTAATGTATGTGTACATATAAAACAAGAGTGACGAGATTGAACTATTGAAATTTTCTTGAAGAGATGTTAAAAATAGTAATCTATAAATGGTGTGTCCTCAACTTCTACTTTGTTTATTGATTTCCCCACTAGCCCAATAAACTATTAGTCTGACTTATAAGTCAGTATTTATTGATTATTTAATATGCATATAGGGAAAGCATCATGTTCCCTTCTTTTGACTTGGAGGTCCCCCACGTCATAGGCCACGAGTGAAACAGATATAATAAAATACAAATTATAATTTACATTGCCAAGTTGTACAAGTATTTTGAATAAGGGTTGTGCTTTACGAATAGGACCACGTAGAGATACAAGTCAATAGGGGGGCGTGCACGGACAAGGCCTACCCCCAGTCCGTTTAGAAAAATCCTTTGAATAATGACCCTGCTATTATGAGATAAAACTGGACCAGAAGGGTACAAAAAAATTTCATTCATGTGGATTAGGAGTTAATCATAAAAATAGTTTAATTATATAAGTATGTGATGGACAACATGATCCCCAGTTGCTTACTCTTCAATATTACTATAAATACTTCATCAAATTCAACAAATTTTGGATAAACTCATCTCGAGGAGTTTTTGCCTTTTTGGTAAGCCCGCTCCCCATAAGAAAGCCTTAGTTAAAAATTTCGTCTTTGAGAGATTTCTGTAAAAGAAGACAGGTCCACTCGCCACCAGAAAGAAATTTTTCTATCGAGCCGAGTAGCCTCAACATCATCAAAATCGCAAAATGGACATTTTGAACAGACATTATGCATATTCGAAGATAGAAATGTTTGACCCTGAAGAAAAACAGCATCAAAGGGCACAATTCTTGATTTACAAGGCTTTGCAGAAAGCAGAAATTAGGAGATCAAGACCTTCTTGGCTGAAAGTGAAAGTGATCAAATTGAAGATCAAGATTGGTAAAAGATTTAAGACACTGAGAAAGAGGATTGGACTAACCTTATCTTCTGCTAAAATTGGGTTTTGCAAGAAAATTACTTGTCAATGGAAATCTTGGAAGCGACAGATTCACGGTAAAGAGGGAATAAATAGAAGTCTCCCATCAATGATCATTTGAAAACTCTCTCTCTCTCTCTCATTTTTCTTGTTTTCCACTTGAAAAGTGAGATTTATGATACGTTGATTATGGTACTTCGAATCTTTCAAGGATATGAAATTTAGTGTTGCCAACTTGCAACAGTCCATTTTAAGATGGATTCAAGGTGTGGAAGAAAAATAAGTTTATTGCGTCTTAATCTTTTAACTGAGCTACGGGTTTAAGTCTTGCCTCTCATTTACCAAAAATGGCCGCACATCAGGTCTTCACTGAAAAAGAATTCGTCGTACACCAGGGCCGCGAGTTGACAACAAAATCTATATGTATATAGTTTTATCATCTCTCTCTTACTATTTAAACTTTTAAGGGGGAGATGGTTGATTTTTAATTTGTCACGTGACCTACAAATTTAATTTAATTGTGTATTAAGGTTAACTTAGCCCTTGTTTGATCCCCATTCTTTGGGAAAAAATGCATTTTGCTACACGTTGACATCATTTCAACCACATATTCTTTAATAAAATAATATTACACGTAAATCTAAAACTTTTCTTTATTTTTTAACCATACATTTTTCATCAATACACTATTCAAAAATTCATTTTTTCCCCAAAAATGGGAATCAAACAAGGGTTTAAAGTTAAATTCATTTAAAGTGATTTAATAAAGAGAGTTATAATATTGCTATTTGTACACTAATTTTTGACACTTTGATTGACACTTGCATTATTATTAAGTGTTAATTGAATGAAAAAACTGTTTGAAATTTAAACTGTCCAATAGAATAATGACACGTGATAAAGTGTAAACTAAAGTGTATAGTGTACATTTAGCAAAATTCAGAGAGTTAAGCTATTTGTACATTAAAAACGTACATTTTCCTTGACATTGTGTGATGTATCAAAATTGAGACCACTGATTATTTTAACTGTTGTTAAAATCAATGGCAAAAGTGAGTCATGTCATAAAGTGTCAACAAAACTACTAAGAAAAGTGAAACGGTAGGGAAATTAAATCAAGAATTAAAGTTACTGGATTTTGGATATCTAATATAGTAGGGGTTCTTACACAAATACCCCATATTTTGGGGTAGTTTTGGAAAAACATGAGAAACTTGAATTATATAATAAATACTTGCAATTCACAGTAAATTATACGATCAAAGCCACGGACATTCATTCTTCCACAAATATCAACCTCCAATCTCAAAAAATCAAAGGAAAAGGGTAAATCTACCACAAGTCAAGCAAAAACAAAATCGAGATTGCTTCAATATTTATTCTTCAAAGTTATCTCCCACAAATCTGGAAATACACAAAAAAAAATACAGTATTTTTTTTTTTTCAACTCTTTGTTTTATTACTTTTTCATCATTTTAAGATTGTTTAATGCTATCTTTGCCTAGATTATGAAAGCAACAACCATAATTATCAATTTCCAGTTGAATAATTTCTCACTTATAAATTCTAATCATCATAGTGCATTGTTAGTGATGGCAACGGGGCGGGTTCCTCTCCCGCCTCCCGCCTCACGCCCCGCCCCGCCCCTCCTTTGACGGGGTTGGGTGGGGGGTGGAGGGGGGCGGTTTTCTTGCCCCTTTTAATTTTTTATTATTATTTTTTTTTTTGAATTCTGAGTTCAATAAAATACGGATAACATTCAAGCTGACAAAGTTAATATCCAAAATAAACACTACAAATCTTAAATATAATGGTCGCTATTGGTACCCAACATTGATTATTAAGATGAACAAGGTTTTTTGTGTTTTTTCCTTTGATATTGTCGCAAAAGTTGTAACCCCACACACTTTAATTTATTACAATATATAGATTTTCAAATTTGTTCAATTGAACATGTTATATATTTTTATATTTGTTTTTATCAATATAATATCAATTTGACAAAGTAGCATAATGGTATATATATAAATTAGTTAAGTTTGATAAGACTTGTACAATTGAGGATACTAAAAAATAGGTCATCCTTCTATTTGAAGTAAGTTGAACCCTAACCTTTTATTTAAAAAAAAAATCATGAGGCTGGTTCGGTGCAGGGACCGTGCCCTGCGATGGGCGAGTTTTTTGGCCTCATTCGGGGCGGGGCGGAATAAATTGTCATCACTATGCATTGTCGATCTTATTTTTATTTGAATTTCGTGATTAGGTTTAGTTTGAACATTATAATGTAAATAATTGACATCTATGAAGTTTCTTTTTGATAATTTTGTTATTGTGATTGGAAACATGTTTGAAAATAATATTGTTGAACTTGAGAAGAAAATGTGTGTTAATAAATATGAAAAATTAGCTTTGAATCAATTAAAATGATACATACAAGATGTTTGACGACACGAGAATGTGAAAAAGTAATATTCTGTAACTTTTCTAAAAAAAGCCACATTATCTCATTTAAGCAATTAAATAGATGGACATGTATGCATTTTTGAAAATTTGAACATACAAATTCAAACTTTATTTTTATGCTAATACATAAAAGAAAACTTTGAATCAATTAGATAGATGCATGCACTGTGTTTGTTCCAAAAAAATGTGAAAATTTGACATTCTGTCAATTTCCTAAAAAAAGTCACATGATTTCATTAGAGCAATTAACTAGATTCATATTTGTGCTTTTTTGGAAATTTGAACATACAAATTCAAGCCTTATTCTATGTTAATACATATTAAAAAGAAAACTTTGAATCAATTAGGTTGATGCATACAAGGTGTTTGCTAAAAAAGAATGTAAAAAAAGTTTCTGAAGAAAAAAAAGTCACGGTATCTTATTGAAACAATTAACTAGATACACATGTATGCATTTTTTGAAAACTTGAACATACGAATTCAAGCCTTATTTTATGTCAGTACATATGAAAAATAAAATTTTGAATCAATTAGATTGATGCATACAAGGTGTTTGCTCAATGAGAATGTGAACAGGTGATATTATGTCACTTTCCTAAACAAAAAGTTATAGAATCTTATTGCAGTAATTAACTAGATGCATATATGTGCATTTTTTGAAAATTTGAATATATAAATTCAAGTCTTGTTTTATGTTAATACGTATGAAAAAAGAAAACTTTGAATCAACTAGATTGATGAATGCAAGGTATCTACTCAAGGAGAGTATGAATTTTGTTACTTTTCAATGAAAATTGATATTTTGTAACTTTTCTTAAAAAAAAAAAAAAAAAAAAAAGTCACAATATCTCATTAGAACAAGTAACTAGATGTATACGCGTACATTTTTGAAAATTTAAACATACGAATTCAAATCTTATTTTATATTAATACATATAAAAAATGAATTTTGAATAAATTAAATTGATTCATGCAAGTGTTTGAGAAAAGGATAATATGAAAATGTGACATTCTGTCACTTTTCTCAAAAAAATCACAGTATCTCATTAGAGCAATTAACTAGAGGCGTACACGTTTTTGGAAATTTATACCTTTTTTTTTTTACTAAGTTTATCTTATATTAACTAAACATAGAACATAACTTCATTTTAGAAACACAAGAACCTATAAGTTGAAAAAGACAAAAATTCAAAAGTGACAAAAAACGATAAATTTAAATTAAAAACGTCTTGTGATTCACAGATCTGGATGGACTCTATCACAATCCCATTATCAATTAGAAGAGTTGTGCGTATGGATAAACTGGACATTCCCAACATTTGTGGTTTTTCTCCTCCCAGTTTGACTTTAAATCTTCCAATGTTATTTTAGATTACAAGGAGTCTAGTTTGTTATGATCTTGATGGTGAAATTTATCTTATGTAACTACGGTATTCCTTCGCTACAAGTAAGGATTTATTAATAAAAGTTTTCATTATTTAAAAAAAAATTAAAAAGTAACACAACACTTTTCATTCACACGACTAACAAATTTTTTTTGAAGCATTCATTGTAAAATTTGCAATGCATCTTTTCGATTGAAAAACCTTAAACATTGAAAAAAATAACAAGCCAAATACAATTGCTGGAATTTAATTTAACAATCCAATGTCAATTACGTTTTAAATCAATATTGTTAACATTCTATTTACATCAATTTGGATTATTTCGATCATATAATCAAATATAAAACATCTTGATATTTTGAGATTGAGACGTTATACAGTAAGCCATGTAAATATTTTATTCAAACAGCGTGAAAAAAATCAGAAAATTAGGGACGGTCCTCGTATCGTTGATGAATTTGATTTTTTTAAAGGGTAACTGGCACAAAACGTCCCTACCTTTCAAGTGTGTAGTGAAAAACATCCATACCTTTTATTTTTTGGTACAAAACGTCCCTACCTTCCACTTTCTTTGCGCTGAACGTTCTTTTCATCAATTTTTGACGATTTTACACTCCATTCAAATAAAACAAAAAGAAAAGAAAGGAAAAAACAAAAAACTAACTGCAACCACATTCCCAAATTTTCTAAAAATTACAAATGGTAACTTGATAATTACCATATTAAATAAATTGAAAAAAATCAAAAAATTAAGAAAAAAATTAAAAAAATGAGTTGTCTTTTTCACCACACCCCACCCTACTATTCAAACAAAAAGAGAGACAGAGAGACTTTTCCCCAAAATAATTATTTTGGTGCACAACAAATCCTCCAAATCCGAAACCTCATTACATCTCTCTGCACTTCCCCTCTTTGTACAAGTTCCTTTGTTTTCATATCCAGTATCAAACCCCATTGTGCAGAGAGATGTAATGGGGTTTCGGATTTGGAGGATTTGATGTGCAGAGAGATTTTGTATGGTGGGGTGGGTGTGATGTAGAAGACAACCCTTTTTTTTTTTAATTTTTTTCTTAATTTTTTGATTTTTTTCAATTTATTTAATATGTTAATTATCAAATTACCATTTGCAATTTTTAGAAAATTTGGGAATATGGTTGCAATTAGTTTTTTTTTTTTCCTTTCTTTTCTTTTTGTTTTATTTGAATGGAGGGTAAAATCGTCAAAAAATGATGAAAAAGACGTTCAGCGCCAAGAAAGTGGAAGGTAGGGACGTTTTGTGCCAAAAAATAAAAGGTAGGGATGTTTTCCACAATACGCTTGAAAGGTAGGAACGTTTTGTGCCAATTACCTTTTTTTAAATTAATATAATTGATAAATCCACATTAATGAAGGTAATAATAATTAAGGAAACAATTGAACATGTGCAGGTTCTTAACAATGAGGAAATAATGCTCCACTTTACCGTATTGAATACTGTGGAGGAAAAGTCAAAGATAACTAGTGTATTAATCAATTTTTAGCATCAGCGCCGTACTTTGCCTAATTTCCCATATTTAAATGTCCGTGTGCATATAAAGGTTGATCTCAATTTTGAGAGTCCCCATCGTCCCGTCTCTAGAGTTTTGTGAGGAAGGTAAATCGCGGGATGTGCCCCAACAGATCAGGGAACAAGGACTGCTTATACATTGCGTATACAAGAAGTCCAATTCCATGTCTCAGGAATCAAATTTTCACACTGCGGTTGCCAGCAAGACGTGAGATAACCTCACTCCCGTCCTTTACACCACTGGGCTATGCCCCCGGGGGTGTTCGTGTGCATATGTGTGTACTCATCTTGCGCAAGACTTTGATTTCTTCTACTTCAACGTTTGCTCACTTGTTTTACTCAATGGAATCGTGAATTTTTTAAAAAAAAAAATTTTGGGAAATTATGTGAAAATTGGATTTTATGCTAAAATCATTTCAAGTTTCTAAGTTTATCGAGGTTTATGCAATATGGTTATACAAAAAAATTTGAAATTTTATTGATGGAATCAATGGTCTAGCGGATTGGAACAAGAATCAGGTTATGAAAGCTCTATTGTTGGTGATCATAGTGACTGTGATGATGACTCGAAGGGTGTGGAGTGTACCGAGTTGAATGAGGAATTTAATGCTTACTCTTGAAATTTTGATCGGTGTTTTGTCGATAAATTGAATTAAAGATGCTTGGTGTTCAATGAAGAAAAATGAGGGATGGTAGTTGTGTCATTTTTTTTATTAATTTCTATTACTTTATTTAATTGATTTCAATGTTTTTTTAAAAAAAAAATTATAACTTCTGTGTTCGTAGGTTCTACTATAACTGGTCCAATTGGAAATGAGTGTTGATCTTTGGCCTTTGATTGCTAGTGCTGCCAATGCCATTGTTTAGAAGAAATTTGGAGTGGTGGGGAATTTTTATTTTTCGAGTTCTATTGAATAATTGAAGTCTTTAAAGTCTGAAGTTAGAAATTTATATGATACCTATACTAAACAAGCTTCTATTTTTGTAGGAAGTTAGATTCTTTACCGATTTTCTAATTTCTATGGATGTTTTTTAGTTCTATTAATGTGGACTATTGCCTATATGATTGTAAGCAAAGGTGTACCATTTATGTGTTTATTATAGATGTTTCGACAATAAATAGAATTGAGGGCAAAAAGATTGGCCTACGTGCTGTTCTCCTTGACATTTAACAAGGAAGGTGATAACAATCCAAACCTTGTGAAACTAGATGTAATAACTAGAGAGAAAATGAAAATCTTTTATGGACATCTAGCCATTGTTTTTTATCTAGACAAAATTACTTTTTGAGATCAAGAAGTGATCTCAAAAGTAACATCACTTCACTTTTTTTTTTTTGAATTTCGCCACTTTTTTAGTGTTTGTCACTTATATTTTTTATTATTTACCTTTTTTTGAATTTATCACTTTTAAAAAAAATTGTCATTTTTTTGCTCGTCATTTTTTTAAAATTTTTTTCACTTAGTGTTTATTACTTTTTTATTCTGTCACTTTTTTGAATTCATAAATTTTTTAAAATTACTGCCACTCTTCTTTTTTTTTTTTTTTTTTTTTTATTTTTTTTTTTTTTTTTTTTTTTTTTTGTCAATTTATAGTATTTGTCACTTTTTTAATGATTGTCACTTTTTTTCATCATCCTCTTGATTACTACTATCATTTTTTTCAGTTACAACATAATTTTTTAATAAAAGTGACATTGTATATCATTTTTTAATAAAAAAGTGATACCTAACTTTTAAAAGTGACATTGATCGATGTTTCATCACTTTTTTTAAGTTTTGTCATTTTCTTTAATTTACATCACTTTTTTGATTGTTTGTCACTTTTTTATTTTCTGTCACTTTTTTTTAATCTGTGTAACTTTTTTCAATTTATGTCATTTTTTTTAAAATTTCGACACTGTTTAAAATTTTCATCACTTTTTTAATTTTTGTTGCTTTTTTTTAGTATTTGTCACTTTTTTAAATTTTTGTCTCTTTTTTTAGAGTTTGTCACTTTTATTCTTGAAATTTCCGTCACTTTTTTTAGTGACAAATATCACCTTTTAATAAAAGTGACATTGTATGTCATTTTTTAATAAAAATGTGACAGTCACTTTTTTTGAGTTTTCGTCACCTTTTAAACTTGTCACTTATTTAATAAGATAAAAAGTGATATGATATATTATATTTTCCAAACATAATCAGCATGTGGATTGTCTTGAAAATGCTAATTATGTTAGGAATCGCCACCACCCTCATGTGGATTGTTCTGGATATGTGGATTATGTTAAGAATATGATTACTGGTGCTGCACAAATGGATGGTGCTATTTAGTGTTTGTCATTTTTTTTTAGTTTTAGTCACTTTTTTTTTTTTAAATTTTGTTACTTTGTAAGTGATTGTCACTTTTTCTTATGTTAAGAATATGATTACTGGTGCTGCACAAATGGATGGTGCTATTTAGTGTTTGTCATTTTTTTTGAGTTTTAGTCACTTTTTTTTTTTTTTTTTAATTTTGTTACTTTTAAGTGTTTGTGTCACTTTTTCTTAAAAAAAAAGTGACAATCACTTTTCCTTAGAAAAAAGTGACAATTTTTTATAAAAAAGGTGACATAGTGTCACTTTTTTCATTTTACACAGTATTTTTTACTTCCAAAAAACTTTTCATATAATTTTTCAAAACACCTCTAACTTTAAGAGTATTTTTGTAAGTTGCCCAACTAAAAATCCAGGGAAAAAAAGAACCATGGAGATATAAATTTTTTATGTACTTTACTTAGTGCTTAGGTTAGAGACCATGTTTAGAGTTTAATTTATTTCATTAAGAAAAATTGAGATTTGAGATAAGATTAAACTCATCAAATTAGGGTGATTCTTGGCAATTTTATTTGTTTTATCAAATATAATTTTGATAACAATATTTATACGTTAGATACTCAATTCACATTTGTCACACATTCTTACCACAGAACATAATTTTGCTCGAAGTTCTGTTTTCTTTTTCCTTTTTAATTTGATTAGTTTAGGAAGATAACTAAGCAATCAACATCCGGCCTTGTCAATGCATCTACGGGGCTCATCTACCTAAAGATGACAGTTCATAACCAGGGGAAAGCTAATGGAGGATGAGTGTAGAGTCGAGACAAAACACAACACCTAGACCCAATTAAACCCCTCAAGGTCGACTAGAAGGAACCAGCTAGGCATGACTCCTGAAATGTTTGATTTGTTTGTTCAACAATTAGTAGCAAGAAGATCCTCGAATAAGATTCAATCGGAGTCCATCACCTCCTTAGACGAAACACGACATTTTAAAATGAATCGACTGTATCATCAAGATCAATGATTTATAAAGGTATACATAAGAGAACACATCCAAGATATCACGACTCAATGTTATAATTGTTCAAAAATTGGGTAATGATAGCCAAATAACAAGACAAGTGATTGTGAATAAGCATGCATCAATGTAAAGTGACTCTTTTACATCTTAACTACTGCTTTCATGAATTTTTAAATTTTATTTTAACGAAGAACAAACTTGGAAAAAAAACGAAATGATTGAATCTTAATAAGCCAACAGTTGGATGAGAAAAAACCTATTACAAAATCAATGATTGAGATCTCAATTAAGGTGAGAATCCTGGTTCTTATGAGATTTGCTGGGCAAGACTATAACGGTATAATCATTTTAGGCCCTTCTCCTTCAGTAATGGCTCTTTTATTTCTTCCCACTTTTCCAAACGTTTTCTTGCTTTCTCCACCTAGAAATTCAATATTTATTTATTACTTTGAAATAATCGTTTATAATATTTTGGTAAATATAACAAGTCTATGAAGAATAGCCATGAGCTTTAGTAAGGTAAACTGTAGAGTGTATGATAGTTTTACCTCTTTCTTCCAATCGGTTCGAAATGTTGTCCAGAGCAAAATGATGGTTTGCATCATTGTTCCTCCTATCATTCCCGACCATATTCCCTATGCACATATATATTCAATACATGCTCATACCAATTCAACTTCTTCGATTCTTGATTTGTACGTGATAATAAATAAATATAAAATTATTACAGTATATGACAATCTTATAAAAGAGTTTAATTTCTCGTACCTTAATTCCAAGGTTAAATTTGAAGCCAAGAAGACAACCAATTGGAACTCCCACAATGTAGTAACACCCAATATTTACGTAGGCGACAAATGCTTGCCATCCACATCCAACAGCCACCCCTTCAATTAATTTCCACATAGTCATACCAAGTGAAAAACATTGGTTATTATAAATGCATAATAACATCATCGGTGTGTTAAACCGTATAGAATTAGACATCTTCCTTTAATTCTGTCAAACATATTGTACCAAACGTGATATCATAAGCAATGTAATAAGAATCAAACTTGATATGGTACTTCGATCGAAAATTTTGATAAATGGCCGAAAAACCAGTTTAGTTCCACGTAAAACTGAAAATATCAAAATTGTTTAAGAAGTTCAAAACCGGCCAAAAACAGGGTAAGTTGAAATTGGTTCTACCCTTTTTTAATCAACTTATTTAATTTTTTCAACTACAACTTCAATTTCGATTTGACCCTTATCGCATGATCTTTTATCTTTTAAAGGTCGATTTTCAAACTCATAATTAAATCACAAATTATCAAGGTTTATACTCTAATGGATGTCAATTGCCAATAAGGCTTGGTGGAGTATGGACAATTCCAACGTGGTAATTCACCAAACATTACATCAAATTTACCTAATCCCATTTTTAAAACCTAAATAATTCAGCACTTTAATCATAAGAGATCTGATCAACACATTTATTCTCTTTGACCAAAGAAATCCTGCACTAAACAACAACAGACAACGTGATCCAAGATTCGAAAAAGCCAAAAATAAAAATAAAAAAAAAAGAAAGGACAAGGAGAAAGAAGAAGTAGAATGTGAATTTAGTACGCAAGTGTTTGTCTAGAGAAAATTATTACCTGACAAGACCGGTTGGACCCCATTGAGAATAAGAGTGACGGCTAAGAATGGACACAAATCCGAGACTGCATTGGCCACTATTTCACCATCCGTGAATATGTAGCTAATTACGTGACGTTGTGATAGTACAATGATGGCAACCACTACGGCGACTATGAAAGAAACAAGATTAACCACGACAACCGAGAAAGCTGCCGACTTAGGATTCCCTGCTCCAAGCTCATTGCTTACACGAACACTGGACAATATAATTGACAAGTTCATCGCTCATTGGTCACTTTAGTATAAATGGTTTAGTCACGTTCAAACTTTTACCTGACATGCCATAATATATGTATAGAGACGCACAAATTTTATGATTAGGGTGTGCAATATTAACTTACCTAGCAGCTGCATTGAACCCTACTGAAACCATGAATAACAGGCCGTTTATTGACATGCTGCACAAAGTGAAAATCAAGTCAAGAATAGTTAACTTACTACATTCCCTTGAATATGGATTTTCTTTTTTCCTTTTTTCAAACTTCAGAAAATCAAGGTACGTCACAATGTTGCTATTGTTAATGCTTAATTATTCCAACCATACATTATAAATTTCGTAGGAATATTATCCAATCTAATTAAGATAAAGTAACAAGATCAGAATAATTTGATAAGTTGAGACATTAATCCGAGTTGATAAGCAAAACTTCTTTAGTCTGGTGTAGTACAACTTACCAAACGAGCTGAAATTTCTTTGTTTAAAATAGTTAAGAAAGCAAACTTACCAGACTGAGAGTGCATCCAAGGCAAGTTCAGGGTTCTCAAGAAGTCCTGCAACCAACACTAGTACCTGAAAGTACCAAGTCTCCAAACACAGCATCACAGCAGAAGCAATAGACAATTTGACAAACTCCCAAAGACCAGTAAAAGCCTCCCAACTAAACCCAGTCCAAGTGGACTTACATTTTGGGGTCCACAATATATACAAAAACTGGGCCGAAACAATGATCCACCAAGATAAGCTCAATACCAAAGATGCCCCTAACACCCTTAAACCAATCTTGTACACCGCAACCCAACTCAAAAGTAAATGCACCCCTAGAGTAGCCAATGAAATGTAAGCACTCGGGGCTACAATACTCTGTGCTTGGAGGAATTTTTGTATAGGGAAATTGATTGTGTACGCGAAGAGCTGTGGGATGAGGCCGTAGACGAACACTGCTGCTAGTGATGCCACGTCTTCGGATTCTCCGATGAAGATAAGGATTTGTTTGGAAAATATGTAGACTAGGGTTATTGGGAGAGCAAAGAAGAAAAGAACCACAGTTGCTCTTTGAAGATAAAGGCCTAACATGTCATATCTGCCCGCACCAAATGCTTGCCCACATAGGGTTTCAACTGCACTTCCCATTCCTAGCTGCAAAAAACCCACTTTAGCATGTATGTGTTTGTTGATCGAGCTCATCTAATAGCTTAAGTTGTTCCGTTAACAGAAAAGAAACTTTATTGTTTTAAGTTATATCATCAACCCATGTGAAACAAATAAGGCTCGAACCTCGAGAATCTTGATGTTTGCATTTCTATTGGTGAAAGGCTTCAAGAAACTTTGTCGATTGAAAATGGTAGATGATAGTGGAGTCCATCAAAGTTACAAACAGAAAATTCCATAAATAGTTCAAAATAAAATTATTTGACAGAAATAAGTTTTTTGACCGATATTGTACATGTAGGAACTTTAGTTCCATATGATTGAACAGTAAAATAATGTATTCAAGGTGATCGTGCACGTACCAAGAGGCCGTAGGCGAATAACTGAATCCCCTGATTGCCAAGGCTTACCGCTGCAAACTCAAGATTCCCAAGGTGTCCGGAAAATATTCTAGTAGAAATGGACATTGAGTTGTTTATCAAGTACACCATAATTGCAGGTGCAGCAAGTCGAAGCAGTAGCCTCAGCTCAATCCAGGAGGCTATCCGGAGCCGCTTCAAACCCGATAAACTGGGTTCTGATAGAACGTTTTCCAGGTAGGACTCGGAGCTTGCTCCATGGACCATAGTTAGCGAGTTCGGATTGTTCTCGTTTTCAGCTTGTTCCATTATTACTTGATATTTCCTCAAGTCATTCAGAGCACTTAATATATAGCTGAAGTGATAAAGACTGCAAGGTATGTTTTGAGTAAAAACAATTTAATACGTCAAAAAAAGTGGTTGTGAATTTGCACGTGGAATTTTATGGGTGCTCCTGTAAATGATGAGCCACACACACGAAACTACACGATATGGTCACATTGATATATGATTTAAAAAAAAAAAAATGTAAGATAAGAACACGGTATGGACATGTTATTATTATTATTATTTTTTAATTGCGTATTTATGTATATTCTATCATTATTTATGTATATATTTTTAAATAAAATCAATTCTTTTCATTTTTGTTGATGAAATCCTAAATTGAGTAGTTATTTGTTAATTGAAACAATTATAAATTAATCTGTATTACATTTTAATTAGGAGAAGAAAATATACAACATGGCCCTTGTTTGGGCCTCATTCTTTTGCAAAAATTCATTTTTTAACAGTGTTTTGACATCATTTCAACCATACATTCTTCAATAAAATAATATTACACGTAAATTTAAAATTTTTTCTTATTTTTTAACCACACATTTTTCATCAATATACTATTCAAAAATTCATTCTATCCCAAAAAATGGAGCTCAAACAAGGGCATGTCTTGAAGTGTTCGAGAAAAATCAAAAATGGACATGACAAAATACAGATCAGATTTATACAATGCGTCGATTTTTTTATACTTCATAGATATCTTCAGCACAACTCGATATGTTAAACAAAGATTTTTGGAACATTGGGTTATTCTCAAATTGTCTCATAATTGAAGCAAACAAATTTTGAAGGAGAAATGAGAGTTTCTACTGATACACATTTGGATGTTCTCGTTGAATCAACAAATTTGTATCAATTTTTTTTTTTTTTTTTTTTCCTCAATGATTGGTACGCTATACACGACAATAATGGATTGATGGGATTAAAAAAAGACAATGCTAGTGTTCTTATGGTTACGTTCTAATTACCATACCGGGTTGATTAACTGATTGGTACACTTTTTTGTCTTCATGAAGTGACTAAGATGGTGAAACAGGAATTTATGGTTTTTTTAGTTCTTTTTAACCCAAAAAAGTAAAATTATTTGAGGTGCAATAGAATCCTAATCTATATAAGATACCATTTAGGTAACATTTTTTTTCCCCTTCTCAAGGATGATTAGTGTAAGGAAAAAGACTCCTGCACAGGTCATTTTACACAGGGGCTCTCACATGGAGTCCAACCCAACGTGTGGGTTCACCCCCATGTGTGTGAACCTATGTAGGCTCTATGCAAAAGATTAATGTAATAGGCAAAGTAGTGGCTAGCCAATGAAGAACTTCGCTTGTTTTTCTCTCAATAGAGGTGTTAAAATTAAAGGTTTGAAATTTACGTAAGAATTGTTATTTTCAAGCTTTTTTTTTTTTTTTTTAAATATACGGCTGAGGACAAACACAGCTGTGAACCGCTCAATCATTTCTAATTTCTATCAGGCGACAAAACTTCAGGCATCAGATCTTGTGTCTTTTTATGCACTTAAAAGTTTTGGCCTTTGACCCATAAACACTATAGATTCTTGCAATTATCATTGGTTTGATTAATCATTTTATTCATTTGAACTTTCAGCAAAATCTCGTCTGAATTCTTCATATTTCGTTCAAATTTATGTTTACACCATAAACACTGGTGTAATTTTTTCCACCAGTGTTGATTTGAAATTAAGACTCAATAAATACCAAAAGCAAAAAATAAAAATGAAAGATTATAAAGAACACAAATTTTTTTTTACCTAAATCCCGGAGGTTCGATGATCGCTATTAACACCTAATCCTCCATTAAATATCAATTAGGGATTAAGATCGAATCTATATGCACAACTTCAAACACATGACAAAAGTTCAAATCACGGATCAAGTTCTCACAAAGAGAACAAAAACCAAAACAACTCTCTCAAATGTACGATCCTTGAAGCCTCTCACACTAAGAGGAGGTTACTATTTATCAATTCACACACCAAAACCTTCTTCTTTAGCACAACTTTTTTACACAAAATCGAAAAATGAAATAAGAAGATGAGAACATAGAGAAATGATAAAGAGTATTTTTCTCTTACCCTAGAACGAGAGAAAATAGTCATTTTAAAACACAAAAACGTTTAGAATTTGTCCTAATGCTCACTATTGTGACTGTCTTCATTACATCAATGCTCACGATAATGTATAAAGTGTGCACCAAAACATATTATTGAAATAACAACAAAAGTGGACCACATATTTTGGCCGAGTTATCAATAATATCAATCGGCTTGAGTTTAATTTCTTTTGGCCTCAAGTGGCAAACAACCTAAAACTTCGCTCTCTACATTTTTCACCAAGAAAAATACATAAATAAACAAGGGAAAGAATTAATGGAGGAACTCTAAAATGAAATAGATTGTTTCGATGGAATCTTTTATTCTACATAGATAGATGAATAAGTCGTTATTTTTCTATTTAATATTATTTCAATTATCTTATCAAAAGATGAATTTACTCTTAGAAATCATTAAATCCTATATATGGATAAATGAGTGTTATGATGTATCTTGAAAATTCTTTGAAAGATAAAAATCAAACAATTTTGTAACAGAATGTCCAACATAGCAAATAGCAATTCGATGCAGAGTCAATGTCGATGTTTTCATGTTAGACGTTCTATAAAATTAAACTAACCTTGTTTTAGATTAGTTCCAAATTAAATAAAAAGGAAAGCTATAGTGACAGACGTAGAGCAAAATATAGTTGAATAATTGTTAGAAGTTGAAGAGTACGAGTGTTCTTTACGCGAATAAAGCTATGCTGCTAGATGAATCTTGTCCACCTAGGTGACCGACCCACATTGGCATGGGATCCGTGCTGACCCCACGTGAATAAAAAATGTAAAAAAAAATGACACCCTACTCATCTCGACTGTGATTATAGGTCAGCTGGGGTGTCAAAATAATTCTAGCACCCAGCATGATTCTCTTTACCCCCAAATTTTTGTAGAAAAGCTGCAAAGAAAATAATTTATTTAATTTCAACAATACCTTTGCCTTGTGCCTACAGCAACAAAACACTAAACACCAAAATGACTTCTTCTTCTTTTTCACATGGAAACCTTACACAATATTCCCAGCATGGCGTCGGAACAAATACTACTAATCTGGAAATTTCAATATGACTTTATTAAAATTTAAAATTAATTATAAGTTATACAAATTCTCCTTTTGTTGTCAGTCTCATTATTTAAAATAATTAAATTTCAGCAGTAAAGCATGGGAGCAGATATGCATTTAATTCAAAAGATTAACCTAGTTAAGCGTAGTCAAGTTCTTATAAATTTATAATTATTTTTATTTTTAAACGATGTGAAAAATTTTACCCGTAACATGCACGGTATAATGTAACTCATTTGAGAATATAATTTTAAAAATCAAATTTAGGTGATCAATGGCTCATTTGAGCTATATAAACTCGGATACCATATTGAACCAACTCATTATAAATTTTCGATACCATATTTATTTTAATTTATATATTTTGTGAGGTGGGACTAGTTCCAGCTGTTTTCTACTGTCGAAAATTATACTTGCACTGTAATAGGCTAATCAAACTTGAGCCAACAGCCACATTTTCATTATCTGAAACAGTAGATGGGAAATCAAGTTACAGCGAATTACATGAAAAATCTTGGCATATGGCTTTTGGTAAATTAATAAAACCAGCACAAAAATTTTGCTTTATAATGTACTTTTCATGTCAATTGATGGACAAGAGCGACATGTTTTGTTTTGATTCTCAACCTTTTCTCTAAATTATTTAAAAAATATGTGAAAGACAAAGAGAGACGCAAATCAAAAATAAAAAGGTGAATATAGAATTTTAAAATATAAGGCATTTTCAAATTGATTGAAACCTTTGATAAATGGTCGACCCTACTCAAGCTAGTTTTGTCCCTGGTCTTTTTCTGCGACGGACATTTGAGAACAAGAAAGCCATTTCTTGAACTTTTTGTAAAGAGATTCTTTGAAATTTGAATCAATCAATAGAATGAAACGAAATAATGGCAAGCCTAGGACCACAGTCACCTGCCTGCAGAGCTGGCCCAAAGGCAGTATATCAAGAAGCAAGAAACATCACATACAATCCGATTTTTTTTAAACAAGAGGTGGAAAAGTCAAAATACGATGAAGTGGGAGTTAGCACTCGATTTCATTGGTACCATTCAATCAAATCCAATTCAATTGTGTGAAAGAAACGCAAAAGTGGGTGGATTCTTTGTCTTTACATATTGGAATAAATTATATCAGAAGTCTTCAACTTACGACATATAAGTTAATTTATAATTCTTGCCATTACAAGTTTTTTGTACCATGATATTCAGTTTAGGGTACGGTTTGTTGAAAATTAAAATTCATAATTTTTTACCATTAAGAGAAGTAAAATAGCAATAAGAAAATGAAAAAACTAAAAAATACACAAGATTTCTAGAGATCTACCTTAGTGTGAGTAACATCCGTCGCAACAATAATTTACTTGATGGAAAAGTGCGTTAGGAGAGAGAAACTTGCTCCCTATATTTTGTAATGTTTCTCGTTTTTTCCCTTTTTTTTTTTTTTTTAATAATTATGATACAAAACCCTAATGATCACTTGCTATTTATGAGATACTCAAGACAAAACTTAAATTACAAGTGTAAATTCTTAAATTATAATAATAGAAATTTTGTCAATCCGGATAGGAACTTCGCTCAAATACAATAATTTAGCTCTACAACTTAACAGAATTTATATCCATGCAAAGATAAATCAAACTTAACTCTTATATGTTAGGAATATTTGAAGTGTACAATAGGTAATTTACTTAAATGAAAAATGACTAAACGAGGATAAAATTGTATCTTTCATAATAAATTGACCCGTGAAACGTTAATGTAGATGTAAATTGTCCATAGACACTAAGATGCTATAAACGTGATTTCCATGTGAAAAATAAAAGTCAAAAATCCATTTAGATAAATGTAGATTAAAACTTCCTTTGCTCTTTGTCAATGTATCGTTTTTGTCCTTTTAAAAGCCATAATGATAAAGATTAAAGCCTATTGAACTTTATTCTATACTCTTAATTATTGGCCGAAGATCAATATTCTTGCTTCATTGCCACCCCCACATCACTCTAAAGTTTTGAGCCAAAAGTAAAACTTTTGACTTTATAAGTTGCATTTATTTATTTATTATTATTTTTTTTTTGGGGGTGATTTGTTGATGATGGAATATGTAGAGGATTTTGGTAAGATTCGATGCTTTTCTAGCTTCATATATATTCGATATTGCTTTGTTTGCCAAGCTTTCTAACCTTCCAATCTTTGATTTTTGATTTTCTTGCGCCCCCTTCACTTTTATTGTTACACATAAGGCCCCTGTTTGGTGAAAAATAAAATCAGAATTTTAATAAATTTGAATAAAAATTAATGAAATATGTTGCTGAAAAGTTTTAATTTCATGAAGTATGTGGTTAAAATTACTTATTAACTTTGACTTTGATAAAAAGTTAAATTTTAATCCCTAACAAATAGAGGCTAAATCTGGTTCAGTGCATTCAATATCATCAAGTAACTTTTGAAAGTCTATAATATTATAGCACGTAAATTTTTTCATCATCTTCAACCTTCAGACAAGAGAGTCTGATTAAAGTAGCTACCATTCAGCCCCTTATGAGATGGCCAAGTTGGTGGAGTAGGTGAGCGTTAAGGTCTTTAGTCACGAGTTCAATTCTCCCTACTAACACTTCTCGATCAAGTTTGTTACACTGAATTTGATTAGTGTGGTTTACCTCACTGGCGTGATTTGTAGACTATTGCGTCAACTCATTGGTTTACCCAGTGCGCACCCGAAGGATAGTGACGGTGAGTTTTCCCTTAAAAAAAAATAAAAATAAAAAAGGTAGCTACCATTCACCATGTTTTAGTGCCCAAGCATAAATACGATTAAGAGTAAAGACATCAACGTGTGTGAAATTTGATGAGCCTATTTTAACAACCTAGGACAAGGAAATTTGTTACTATAGAGTATGAGGTTGACATAATGGTTCAATGTTGTACTATTCATCGACTACTCATCTTAGATAAGAAAATTTGATCAAAAAACTTGCACCAATATAAGTTGTACAATAAATTCAATTTTTCTTTTAAAATTTTATTTTTCACGACAATCATATACATAAAGGTTAACAAATATATAAACGAGAAAATCCATAACTGATACAATTGTTCGAACAGAGTATATATCTTATATCTTACCATCTAAATTACCTATAGCTCAATTAGTTTTCTTGTCGTCTTCGTTTAGTTCACTTGCATCAGTACTTTCATGGCAAAACAGAACTCATTTACCCGTTTCCTGTCAACCGGATAGACATACCCGTCTCTAAAAATGCATAAAAACTCTCATCACTGTTTCAAGACATCCAGCACAGAAAAGGATTTGATCACCAAATGAAACGTTTATCTCATCTGGAAGTGTCTCATAGCAACGAATCAAACCCAATAATTTGTTTGCATTTATAAGCCAGCCGTCCCATATTCACTAGAATTGAATTCTAGCACTGAAGGTTACCAGACGACCCTATACAATCATAAGTTGGTAAGCATATACCAAAATAGCTAGACTGAATATAGAGATTGATGATAAATATACTGATGATCGTGTTTCGTTGGATCATCCTAACTCTGACTTCTTTTGAGAAGTTTGGTACGAAGTTGCAATATGACAAGTGTGTATGAAAGGGAAGTCAATACTCATAAATGGAGAAAAAGGTGAATGATCAACTGAGTTCATATTCAGATGCTGCCTGTATTCTTTTTCTATATTCTATTTTCATTATCTGTGACACTGTACAGCAGAATCCAATATTCAATGAGATTTTGACAATTCCTAGATTGATGCCTGATAATGCAGCATCATATTCAATCAAAACAGAGCCAACACTGTCTACTGAAGCTGTGAAGAAGCATATTTGTAGAAAATACAGGACACATAATCTCCTTATATATGTGCACATCACACCGACAAAAGGCATAATGCACAAACCCACTCGAATTGATTGGAGATGACGCAAAGGAAATACCTAAGATACAGAATTAAAAAACATCATATTCAAAATCAGAGCCAACACTCTACTTTCCGGCCAGGAGCACACATTGGCAAGCAGAAGTAACCAACAGACCTACACATGACCAGGCATCAAAAGGTTTATCATTTCAGCAGAAATTATCTCCAGGCCCTATGATAGAGTCTCACGACACCCTGCTTTGAGACAACCAGAGTTTAAAGAGATTATGCAACTTTTAATATTTTCAAACCGAAAATAGTTGAAGTACTCGAAGGAAAGCAAATTTAAGAGCATTGTTTAACGGAGACATCAGAACAAAATACTTCAGAGCAAAAAAGGCAAACAATACAATGAAACTGCCGAAATCAGGGGAAAAAGGCACGTCATACAATCGAGAACAAAAAAGAGACCAAATTTAGCAGGTAGGTATGTTTTTTGCTGCAATAGCAGTCAAATATGCTAGGAATTAACATCCAAGGGTCAATCATACCTTTTGTCTGACGACCCACTTCTCATTGTTAGCAGCAGGACCTACTTGCATGCGCCTGATTGAACAAAACCTTCCATTCATCTCAGTCGTGACTCATCACTGTTCACTTTCATCACCAAACATCACAAACCCGCAGCCCTTGGTGCAACCCATTGCCCTATCTGTTACAACCTTAGCACGCCTTACTGAATTATAGTAGTCAATCACATTGCCATTTTAAATAAGCTGAAGCCTAAGAACAGGAAAATCATTTTAGAATCTAAAACTTAAGAAAAATTGCGAAAAAGTTTGCAACTTAGACCTGACTATCCAAACTTCACACGTCAAATTCACAAAAATGTAAAACTGATTCATCAACGAAAACCTTTTATAAAGCTTAATAGTTAATAGAAAAGAAGATTTCAAAGAATCCAAAACCTGAATTTGAGATCTTCTCAACTTCATAAGAAGACACTTCAATCCCCAAAATAGGCAAACCCCATCAGCAGTTAAATCAAGATAGCGCTGCATGCCAATAACGCTACAGCATTCCAACCAAAAACAGTGTACTGATCTCTTGCAAGTTGAAAAAGGGAGCTAACACCAAGTTCATTCTTTAGTTCAACTAAAAACAATGCAGAAGTACTGAAATTTTAAATTTCAAGCATGATTCAGTAAATTATCAATGGAGAGTCTGGCGGATCGATTCTGCACTCAGTGACTACACAACCATTGAACAAAAATACAATAGTTAAAATGAAAAGTATAAAATCCAACACAGAATTGCAGAAGTTACATTTTCTAATGTCCACGAACTGGAAATAAATAATTATTCAATGAACCTCAGTTTTTAAACTGCACTTGACGGTACAGGGAAATTCACAAGCATCAAAAGTATCGTTGTTTATGCATTTACAAATTTCGTATGTTTGTCTTCTTGAAAATCTATCTCAAGAGAGAGAGTAAATTTTAAAGATCAAAACTTATAAAGAGATGTACAAATTTCCACACAATACAGCCTTATTGTAATTACAGCTTAACCAACAGATCCTTCAAGCTTCAAACTCATGAGCTGGTTTACTTCAGCGCCAAATTCATCTGGCAATTCATTGAAGACATCCCGACAAAACCCAGAAATCATGGCTGCCATAGCTTTCTCATAGTCAATACCTCTCTGCTGGAAGTAGAATAACTGATCTTCACCAATTTTGGAGGTCGTGGCTTCATGTTCAATACGGGATGTTGGATTTTTCGTCTGTTTAGAGAACAAAATTCATTGTTAGCAACCAGAAGTCTGCAATACATTTTGTTACTTAAGGGCAGGCTTGGTAGGATGCTATTAAAGAAGAAAAAAGTTCAAATTTTATAAACTATACTTTCTACTTCTATCTAATATTGTGTGAACAAAAACACATACCAAGAACATCATATTAAAGCCCTGTTTGACTCTCTTTATTTCAAAACTCTTTATTTCTCATAGTCATTTTCAATCACACATTCTCCAAAAAAATAACTATTGAAAACATCATTTTCCCCAATTTCTCTTTATAATGGACATCAAACAGGGGCTAAGAATATTATGCCTTTGATTCCTCTCGCATTCCATACTTTACATAGAAAGAAGGTATATTTTAAATGAATGCAGAAACAACAGCAACTATGATACATCATCAATTACCAATGAGGATAAAACATCCTAATAAGTGATACGAGGTGATCAATCAAAGGTCACCATCCCTCTCTTTCTTTGTATTTATATGTATAGAAGTATTAATCCACGAGGCTTCAAATGGAATAAAACCACCGATATGTTTTGATTGTGTCCTGTCAACGAGAACACTTGCCAATCAAATATTTACAGGTCATGATTTGAGCCATAATGCTATTTTCTTGATGCATAACATGAGTTCAACGAATTAATAAAATTTCAAGGGTAGATATGAAACTGAACGTAGTTCCGCACCATGCACTCACAAAAGCAAACAATCTTAAAAGAGGTCCTCCAACCAGTTTATCCCTAAAGAGGCAAAGGGGAAACATTATCCAGAAAAGTACAGTTTACAGAAGTAAACTTTACAAGGACAGAGTAAAACTACTAAGGATAATACAATAACTATCTTCAATCACAAAAGCCTGTGATCAAGAGAATGCCTGGCTTTGAATTGAAAATTGAAAACTCGGGCATATAATCAAGAAAGATATAAATAAAAAACTAAAGAAATCAAAGATTGAAATATTAACAAGCAGCAAAATGCAAGAAACAAGTTCATAAATATACCTGAATGTATGGATAAGTGTTAGCAGCAGCATTGTCGCCAATAAGCATTGAATCACACTGAGAAGAATTTCGAGCATTGTGCGCATTTGACAACACCTGGACCAGACCTCTATAACAATTTCTTGAATGTCCAGCTGAAATACCCTTTGATATTATCCTACTTCTAGTATTCTTCCCCTTGTGTATCATCTTCGTTCCCGTGTCAGCCTGCTGATAATTATTGGTCAATGCCACAGAATAAAACTCACCAACGGATTCATCACCCTCTAAAATAACACTTGGGTATTTCCAAGTGATGGCTGACCCAGTCTCCACTTGTGTCCATGATATCTTAGATCTAGGCCCAGCACAAAGCCCCCTCTTTGTAACAAAATTATAGATACCACCTTTCCCATTCTCATCACCTGCATACCAATTCTGAACAGTGGAATACTTGATCTCGGCACCCTCGTGGCAATACAACTCCACCACTGCAGCATGCAATTGGTTCGTATCATAAGAAGGTGCAGTACACCCCTCTAAATACTCTACGAAGCTTCCTTCATCTGCAACAATCAATGTCCTCTCAAACTGCCCCGTCTCCATCGCATTTATCCTAAAATAGGTTGATATTTGCATAGGACACTTCGTATTTTTTGGTATATACACAAATGATCCATCACTGAATACAGCTGAATTCAAAGAGGCGTAAAAATTATCCTCAGGGGGCACGACCCTACCCAAATACTTCCTAACTAACTCTGGATGCTCTCTAATAGCCTCAGAAATTGAGCAAAAAATCACACCAGCTTTCTCCAACGTCTTCCTATGAGTAGTAGCAATTGAAACGCTATCAAGAACGGCATCAACCGCAACATTAGCCAGTCTATTCCTTTCATTCAAAGGCACCCCAAGCTTATCAAAATACTTAACCAGCTCAGGGTCAGCCTCATCAAGACTATTCAAAGTAGGCTTCTTTTTGGGCTCTGAATAATAACAAATATCCTGAAAATCAATTTCTGGGTACTGATTATCTGACCATTTGGGCTCTTTCATATTGACAAACTTCTGATAAGACTTTAATCTGAACTCGAGCATCCAATCAGGCTCATTTTTCCTAGAAGATATTAACCTAACTGTTTCCTCAGCCAACCCTTTAGGAATCGTAAACGAGTCAATCTCTTCATTAAAACCCCACTTATAGTCTCTTTTCAAGAATTTATGAAGTGGGTCATCCTCATCTGAGGCAGAGACCGATGATTTCTTACCTGGCGACTCAATTGTAGTATTGGATTCATAGCCGACGTCGGCCCTAATCTTCAAGAAAGTTCTTGGGTTTCTGAGGCTGGATGACTTGGGAAATTGGTGAAACAGAAACCCTTTTGCGGGTTCTGAAATGGGTTTTGCGCAAAAAGATGAAATTCCGCCGGTTAGAAGAGAAGCCATAAGGTGATGTGTGGTGGTGAAGACCGGAAATTTCAGGACAAATAGATACATATCACTATTTATTTATATATTATCAAGAATCGCATGCGGGCCACGTGCCCTAGAAATTGGACTATAGATAAAAGGGCAATGAGAGTTGCTACATATTGTTACGCCTCTTTCTGAACCGTCTCGAAATGCCCATCACCATATGTTTCAGTCTGATAAGGACCTATGCGAAGTGTTTTCGAAGTAATATCACCAATGACTACAACCTAGTAGCATGATGCGAAGTACAGGCGATCCGTACTACTGACCTGACCGAAGCTCCTCGTACCCGAGGCCAAGGCCAAGTGGAGCTCTGTTAGAAGACCCGCCGCCAATTTCAGAAAGAAATTTGTGCAAAGATCCTCCCTGCACCTAAGGTTTAAATTGATTTGACGTCTCCATGAGGCTAGTTGATGTGATTTATCAATTTTATGTCAATTCAACTCACGAGAAACAAGCTGTCTACCCACTCTATAGACGCTGTTAATTGACGCATATGAGCGGACGCCTCATACCGTCAGATGTATACACGTGTCCCACATCCAACGGCTTATCCCACTTATAAATATCCAATGTTTGACAAGAGGCAAAGGTAATAAAACTCTTACTATATAGCACTCAATAGTAAACTTATATATTTTCTCCTCCCCCTTATCATTATTTTGCACAATCTCTGGGTACTGTTCTGACCACCTAAACTTGACTTGACCGTCGGAGTGTATACGGCCGCCACCACCCCCGCTGGTCCCGGCCGTGTGCATCTGACCGTTCGCTGATTGTGCGCATGGAGGAATACGTGGAGTAGCTCTCAGTTGGTCACTTGGAAGGTCCAATTTTCGAGATCAACACATATATTATCAATTTTACATTTGGCATTAAAAATAATAATAAATAAAATAAAATAAAATTGAAAGAAAGAAAATGTCAATCAGATGCTATCAGCACAACATCTATAAATTGCCTAACAAAAAAGAGTTTTGCTGAAGTACACAAAATGCTTGATCGATGGTTGACATCATTTCACATTGTCGTGGGTCCCATTTGAATAAAAAGATGCCGACCTCCGGTGTATGTGTGTATTCGATCATGCCATATGTCATCGCATTTGTTGCTGTAGCTTCGCCCAACAAAAAATTCCCTTTACAAGGAGAAATAACTGAAGGGAAATTGTAGTTGCATCTCTCCTACAATACTTTCTATTCAAGCATTACTCTTTGTGGTGATTTTTTTTTTTGAATAATATGGTTTTTTTATCACTCCAACCAAGGTAATAATGAAGTCGCATGCAAGATTTATGAGTGAATTTGTGCTTTAGATTTTATTTATTTATTTGCATAGTTATTCAATATCATATGAAGTATCGGATGTTGAGATCACATATCAAGTCAGGATGTAGTATCTTGAGAAAAAAAACATACCAATTTTGGTTGAATCGTATAAATCAAAACAATTGGTTACATAAAAAAGGGAAAATGGAATTGGATTAAAACTAGAATCGATCAATATAGGTTTGGTTCGGTTCGATTTATTTTATTTTATTTTATTATTATTATCATGGAATAATTGGTTCACATCAGATTTAGTTTGATAGTTTTATGTTTTATAGTGTAAATCGTTGGATAAATTTTTTTAAATTTTATTTTTACGGTTTTATTTTAAACTTTAAAACCCTCAATTTTTATGAAAATAAATAAACCCATGTAAACTAGGAAATAATAAAATATAATTAACTGAATTGAAAAGTTGAGTATCGGATAAGAAGTCATTCAATTCTCTATTCTAAAATTCCTAATTAATTAAATTAGAATCGATTGAACAAGCTAGTTTGGTTTGGTTTTGATCTGGGTTGAGTGATTTCAAATGACAACTCCCACACTATCAATGATTTATAACAACGAATAATTATATAATCCAATTGATGTTAGCAAAAGCATTTGAATTTTATATATTTGATATTTATGGTCCATATTTGGATCAAACAACAATTTTCTTTAGGATAGAAAAGAAGCTGCAATTTGCACTACGGTAAAATCACATAACCAAAGACAATATTCATTATGGCCCCGTTTGGTAGGAATTTTTTGCCCCAAAAAATTGTTTTTTTGATCGTTATTTTACTATTCAAGCCGTAATATTTGACTTCTTCTCTCACATGTGGATCCCACTTTTCTTCTAACGGTCAAAAAATTAATTCTCAAAATCCCTACCAAACGGGCCCTATATTTCCAATTAGATGCTCTAAATATGGAATGAAAAATTTCTTGGATGGGTGAAAAACTGGGTAAATTACAAGTAAATTATGACCTTGTCACAATTAATAATACTAACAAATGTTATAAATGATTTTTTTTTTTTTTTTTTTGGGATCTTTCGACTTTATTGTTGCATAAATTTAGAAAATTTCTTGGATGAGAAATAAATCATTACCATATATTACCAATTAATGATGCAGCCTATTCATTATTTTTTTTTCTTTTCTAATAAAGAGGAGAAATTAAAAAATAATTATATAGAGCTAACAAAATGAGAGGGGAAAAAAAACTATCTTTCTCAAGAAACCCACATAATCATTTGACTGTTAGATCTCTGGAACCAATTCTTTTGAAGATTTACAGAGGTAAATTATTGGCTCTCTCTCTCTCTCTCTCTCTCTCTCTCTCATGATTTTAGTGCATAAAATTCCCATTTAATTGGATTGATCATATGGTGTGTATTTGTAATACCTGCAATCAGGGCCGGTCTTGTGATTGTCAGGGCTCGAGGCGAAGATCATAAATTAGGCTCTCGAAATCAACGTAAATGCAAAGTTCGACGGTGTATTATGCTCAATGTCATTTCCATCCAAAACCAGTTCATTCTTTAATCTTCCCAGATCTAAGAATTGTGACACCATCAAGCAAATCCACCTTCCTAACCTGAAATAGCCTACAAGTTAATGTAAACCTGAACTCTGATTCAATCCCAACATTTCCATGAACACAAGAGCATGTGAACAAATTGAGACAGCATTCAGTATAGAATTTAGAATGAAAATGCAATACAAGTCTGCCAAGACAGGTAATTCCCACTACAACCAAAACCCCCTAATTTTTCCCTAATACAATGATAAAAACATAAATGCATTTGCATTTTTTTTTATCAGACGGTGATTTTATAAATGATTGAAATCAACATTAATACATACTCAAAAAGAAGCTTTTAAGCACCACGGATCAAAAATAGTGCAAAGTAACTCACAAACAGTTTTTCACTTTGAGCCTCATATGATTTCCATAGTACAGACAATTAAATAAATAACTAATATCATTTTGAAAAATCCAATAATTATCAAAGCAAATATAACAAAGACTTTAAAATCAACAGTATGACAAGGTTGTTTCTTTAGAGAAATAATCATTTACTCTTCCAAACAACAACTCAGACTCAAAAATGGCCTCTCTTATAAAACTAAAGCAAAGAACCCAAAAAAGTTTCATAATATGACAAATACAAATATCCACTTTGGATCCAATTAAGAAAAAGAGGCCACTTTAAATTAACCATTAACAAATGAAGAGGCCATAAGAAATGAAACAAATAAATCATAAACATAAATTACATATACAATCCAAAGCCTTCAAGGAAGAGTAAAAATGATTAAAGAATTCAGACCTTCTTCCGTCTAGGAAGTTATGGATCTCAATAGACTTGCTTCCATTAGTGATTGAACCATTGATGCGAAAGTGAGCAACTGAGCATACACAAACTGCATCTTATGGCGGTAAATTTCAATATATGTACACTCACATACAGGATGTAAAGTGGAGAATTTGAAATAAATGTACCTAATGAAGCGGATTTCAATGAAGTTCGAGATGTAAGATAGACAGAAGAGGAGGAGGAAGCCATATGGGGAGAAATTATTAGGGTTCTCCCGTCTAGCTTCATTTAAAAATAATAATAATAATAATAATAACTGAGCCAAGAGATGAGGCCCTCTCAAGTTTTGGGCCTGAGGCGCAGGCCTTATTGGCCTCCTCATAGGACCGGCCATGCCTGCAATGCATGCATGCATGCATTTGCCCGAATGAGTGTAAGAATATCCTTGTATTCACTTGTAGGAAGGGAAATGAGCTTCTTTATACATACATACATACATACATACATACATACATACATACATACATACATACATATATATATATATATATATATATATA